CTCTCATAGAATCTGATGACCAGTTGTGGGCACTTATGTTTGGCCACTTCCGAGAGGACGATAGACTGCTTGCCATTCGTCCATTTGACCAGAAATACGAGCGTCGCGTCCAGACTATTGATGCCGACGATGTCGTCGGGCGTCCAGCCCTTGTCCCAGCCGTTGAGTCGCGTGCGGATCAGTTGCAGTATCTCCCGCTCCTCCTCTGTCGACATTGTCTTCTTCGGCGGTTTCGACGACAACTCGAGCCGCGTTTTGCGCCGTTTCGCCGATTTTATGCTCTTTTTCTGTCGGAGTTTTGTTTGTAATAAAAGTTTATTAAATTTTTTGAAATCCATTTTTGAGATTAGTATTGAAATTAGGATTAGAGACAGAGATGTGTTATATATCGTCGACTTAATGATCAGTTGCGGCCGTAAATCAATAGCAACCAATCGCAAATGCTAAACATATGTTCACTAATACTTTAATACTAATACTTATGGATTATTACCTAATGTTAATTCACTAATCCATATAATAATCACAATCCCATTAGACAATGCACTCACTCTCACACAATATAATCCCAATTAATATCTTATGTATTATTTGATTAGAAAAACTGAAACTCAAATGTTTATAAAAAAACATGAAAAGCCATAAAATAAAGTCATTTTCTATCAAATCATAGCATTTGAAATAAATAACAAATAAATTCTCGAAACGTCTTAAATCCTAACATATAATAAATATCTCGGAAATGACTTTCAATTATAATTTCTATCCAATGCTATAAAACACCTTTGCGTCTGAAATACATACAAACATACAGTACTACATGTTATACATGGTATACGTGGGGCCCATAAGGACAGGTATGTAACTTATGTACTGTCGAACAATGTATCGACAAATCAATCTCCAAAAGCAATTAAACACATAAATTATAAATATTTTGTAATCTAATGCTTAAAACAAAACTTTTTTGATTGCATTTCAAGGATTTCGCGGCAAAAGTTATTGAGAAATAAAGTTTTTGGCTGTAATTTATTGTAAGCAAAAAAGTTTGTATTAATTTTCAATAGCAATAGAGGGCCAGAAAATCTGATTGCAATAAATGTTACATAACTTGTTGTTTGATAAGGAGAGAGAGAGAGAGAGATACTGCAACTGATCCGCACCCGACTCAACGGCTGGGACAAGGGCTGGACGCCCGACGACATCGTCGGCATCAATAGTCTGGACGCGACGCTAGTATTTCTGGTCAA